TAACTTTTCAGGGTGACCCTATCATGACCACATCTTGCCTTATTTCTCCATATGCCTTTCCGAGGACTAGCAGGACAAAAATACTCACCTAATTAATTACTATATTAATTCAAGCAACAAGAAAGTTCCAACCAAACAACAAAAACAAGTGAATTATGGGTTAAAAAGAAAAACATGCAAATTTACATAAATGAAGCTTGTCAAAAGACTTGCTCATCTTTAGAAAGGCACGTTGCTCAAAGCTTTCAAAAACTATCAGTATTATCAGCTTCTGGGCCTCATCAGATGCCACGGAGAGATACCAAGCCTACTGTCAGTTTTATAACCCACTGTTTAGACAAGACAGGGTTGCTGTTGACCAAAACCTTTGGTAATGTGTGTCCAACCCCAGAAGAGAATAGTTGTGACACATTTTACAGCTGAATTATGTCGGTAGTTTCCACTTCTTGAAAAAAGCTAACTTTACCAAGAATAAGAGTCTGAAATGTCTTGCTGGGAATTCTAAACCTGTCTTCACACTTTGCTGGTATTCTTCATCACTAAATCCCCTGCTTAGCATACTCCATAAGCACGCACCAGGAATGTCCTCTAATATCTGACCCAAATAGGAACACTTTATGTCCTCCAAATACTAGCCCAGCAAAGCAAAATAAACCCATGTTTTTGTTAGTCTTCAGTGTTTGTTAGTAAGTAAATCTTGAGTTAAACTGGTCTTGAAAAAATAATTATAGTCCACTAATGGGTTATAACTATGCAGTACATCCTCTGTTCTAGGCAATGACTTCTCATATCCATGCCACAGAATGTAAATGGTTATATCTAAGCCCTCACAGATATGGAAAGCCTTACTTCTTGCATTAGTACATGTATGACCCTGGTCAGTCACTTTGCATTTAATCTCAGAGCTCCATGAGTAATCATCTTCTGGCTATCATGAAAGGTCGTGGAAAAATTTTACAAAGTGTGAGAAATTCTTCCCCTTCAAGTACAATTTTTGGTGTCATATATTTTATGATTCCAGTACTACCCTGAAGGTCCTCATCTGCTTTTTTTCAAAAGTCAGTTAATCCTTATTATGGGACAGACGCTGTAATTATTAATTTAAAAAAAATTTAGTCATATTATGTTTTCACCCATCTCAGTTGTTTTTTACCAGATAAAACACAATGCCCCTGCTAGACAGCTGAGAGACTTCACATTTTTTGGTTTACGGTTATGGTATTTTCTCTGTAATATGAGGAATAAGGAATGATCCTTTGTGGGTACTTAATATAACAATCTTCTGCAACTTCTATTGTTGCATAACTTGTCTGTAAAATTACAGGAAAGACAATGCCTACATCTCCATCCCCACATATCCATTTAAGTCATACCTTATCTATTAGTACAGAATACTTCATTTATTACTTTCATGATATATCTGACCTAAACGTTTTTTTTTCCTGCAGTTTTTAGAGAATTTGCAATTTGGTCCATGAACAGGCATAGCCTCATCATCAGTAGGGGACTGTGGAGAATAGGTCCCTTATCCTTTTTCCTTAACATCACAACACATTATAAAATAATATTATGTATCATGTCACACGTTGTAGGTGGGGGTGTGAGGCAGCAGACGAGGAAAAGACCCAGGCTCTGCACAGGGCTACAAGTCTTTGCCTCCTTCCAAATAACAGAAGGAGGACTGCCAAGCCAGAGAAAGCTTGCAGTATAGCACTGTCTGGATAATGCATGAGTGCTTAGAGGCCGATGGTGGGAGACAGGAGCACGGACTAAGTATTTACGAAGGGAGAACCACAGTCTGTTCAGACCAGGGCAGAAAAATCTGTATTTGCTTGAACCACAATTCATATCGATTACTGAGAATGCGTAAGGACCACCCCTAGACCGCCTTCCACTGGAAACCCAAGGTATTTATTTGTTGCACAGACTATACAGCATTGTTGCAGTTTCCTGTCACCTCCAGCTCTTGCTTCTATTGATGCAGAAATTTTTAGGCCACACTTAAGGGGACAAACAGCTACAGTCAACAACTGCTTTTCAACTACTTTCTTATCTGCAGGCTTTCTTAGTGCCTCACTTCCACCCTCTCCATGCAGCAGCATATGTTAATTTTCCTCATTTCAGCCACAAGCTCAGCAATGCCCATTTTCTTCCTCTGCACTTTCCCTGCAGGACAGAGGCAGGACCATCACAGGAGCACTACGAACACAGGAGAGACTGTCTCTGTTTGCAATTTTGCAGTGGCCTGCAAGCAACTCGGAGGAGATACTGCAGAGAAAATAATAATCTCTGCACAGCTGGACTGGCTGGAGCCGCTACAACCACAGACTTTTGTGGCTGATAGAGACTCTATCAGCTAAACTCCACCAAGTCTTTGCTGAGCGCAGACCACCACAGAGGATTTTCATCAGGTCCACCTTCAATACACCAAGCTGCTCCAGAACAGGGGGTACTAGAGAGGCATATGGGGCAAAACACACGATTATCGTTCTGCAAAACTTCTGTGCAACTTTTGCTGTACCATCTGGGACACAATTTGTTGTATCAAGGGAAGTTTGATCAAGTCTTAAATAACTAAAAGAAGAGCTGTAAATAGAATGTTAAGGCTTTGAGTAAAGATTTCTGTCAATCGCAGGCAAGAAACTACGGTCTGGGGTTTCCCTTGGGTAAAACTTTATAGTGAATTACATTTGAGCATTAGCAGGTACTAGCGAAGTTAAGAAAGTCTGGTGAGGTTATCCCATTTTTTTTGCTCATAAAAGAAAATAAGAATGGAAAAATACGTCAGATTGCATTAGCCCAACACTTCTGACTGCCAGTTGTGTCAAAGGGAAGCACACCAACCTCTCGTACACCCATAAGACAAAAAAACATCTTCAAGTTTACCAATCCAAGTTTACCAAGCTGTGGTCAGCTTGCAAATCATGGGCCATGTAAAGAAATATTTACATCAACTCTCTGTGTCTTAAGAATTAAAATGAACATTGGTTGATAGCACAAATAATTTTGCCAAGAGTATTTTGGATTAATATAATCCATGTTTTCACCTCTGTTCCCACCTTTCTATGTATCTTGAAAGGGCAGACGCAAACTCAGAGAAGTAGCTCCTGCCCTGCTAAACCACCCTGCTGTGAAGAATGCAGGGACTTATTTGAGGAAGGAGAACACACAGAAACGTTTAAAGAATCCGACTCAAACCTTCTAACAGTACGCAGTCATGCAATCAGTTTAATTTCTGAAACATTTCAGTTACACCACAATCCTTGGCTTAAGGCCTAGGTTTTTGTCATGCAGAAGAACTTAATATGAAGACTACCAAGCTGGGAGCCTCACAGCAAAATCAATCTCCAATACAAATACCCTTTGGTCAGGAGAAGACAGTGATCAGAAAGTTTCTTCATGGACTGTTAGCACAAAGTTTTGCAGATTGTATATTGAAAACCTTCGGTCAAGGCCAAGGTCCAGCAATCTGTCTTGAAACATAAGGAGTAATCAGCTGAATTTCCTGCAGCAGGAAAGTTAAAGTTGTCTTCCTGACTTGGAACCGCATCCTCAGACCAGGAGGTCTGTGGAAGTTGCTCTGAACGAACTCTGGATATGCAGTTGTGGCATCCCCTCTGATCTAAGCTCCCTACACTACCAAATACCTCTGCTGTCAAGAAATAGCTGCCTGCAATTTGTGTATACCAGGTAGCTGACCTGCAGGTGGCTGGGTTGTATCACACGTACAGCTCGAGAGAGGTGCAAAGAGCTTGGTATGGCTTCAGTGCAAACCAGTTTTCTTCCTTTTCCCAAAAATGAAATATTTATTTACAAATTTAATTAGGTAGCCAAATACAAGTTTTTAAAAACTGTTTAAATGCAATACTGTAAATCTGAAATGAAGCACCAGTCATTGTTTGGCCAACACAACACATCAGAAAAAAACAAATGATTTGGTATTATTTAAAAAAAAAAATGAATCTGTGGCAAGCAGACCTTTTGCAGGAGAGTTAGTAACCTTCTGACACCTCTCAAGGAAGTCAGCAGAGCCACCTCCTTCTTTTAGCAGGGTCGTAGCATTCTTAGTTGAACAGCAAAAAGATCAGAAGCTCTACATAAAGCAGTAAGTTTCGACCTCGTCACATTTCATAAACTAAGCAGGATCAGGACAGGAATCCCTGAAGTCCATCAGGTAACCAGTATAGGCCCGGTAACAAAGGTATATGGGGTATGGAGCAAGCAAATCCCGAGTAGTTACCGAGCAAATCCAGCTGCAACTGTGCTGCGCTACCGTGTAGGTGGTAATTTTCCGCCAAGACACGCATCCTCATCACTGGTGGCCAGATTACTGCACGGCACTTTGACAAGTGCGGACAGTTGCCCCAGTGGCTCCTCAGCACTTCAGTAATGAAAATCTTCTTCGCTAATTACCTGCTGTAATCCTAGCCAAACACGGTCCTCTTCTGCTACCCAACTGCTAGTTAGCACAGCCATATGCTGTTTTAGCAGTTGCTGGCTTTTCAGCACACTGGACCACTGCACACTTAAGAAGGACTGAGGAGAAGAAAAATAATCAGCACTGAGGTGAAGGAATGTTGTCAACATCAGGGACACTGCCATGACCGTACGTTCCACTTACTGAAATGTTCAGTCAACAGCAATCTTGGATGTGGATATGTTTTCAGCAGGAAGAGGAAGCCAAACTCTCTATTATAACAGCAGGGAGTCAATTTGTGTCTCTCCGCTTTCCAATTCAAAGCTATTGGAATTCCTGAAGCACAACTGGAAATATATGAGTGTTTCACTACCAGGAATCTCCTTTCCAAAAGCACTTCCCAAAATGTCATCACACAGTAAAAGTTTTAAGTGATACAACTTCAAAAACTAACATAATTCAGCTATTTTCATGATTATTCTACTTCCAAAACGATTTCAACTTGCTCTGGAAAGTAGGGATGATAAAGGAACCTCAAACTTTCAAAGCCACACTGTTGTCATAAGAATATTTAAACAAATGCATAGACGCCATTTTTAACAACTTTATTGGTTTAATAAATGTTGTACAAAATTAGTCTCCGGAACATCATAAGAGCAAGAATTACACTGTAACTATATTTTGTTTACCGTATTTTAGCAGAGGGGGTGCAATTTATTTTCTGGAAAAATAGTATTCTCAAAATCTGAAATAGCTACTGATTTTAAAAGCAGCACAATAATATTCTTTGTCTTACAGCAACAGCCAGAAATACAAGTGTCTCATTTTTTGTCCATATTATTTGAACCAGAGGGTGACAGCACTATACCAATAAAGCTTAGTTTTGCATTTATACACTGCCTAACTGCAATTCTTTATAAAACACCTTCAGAATAACAGCAGTAAAACCAGAAGGGTAAGAAAGTATCTGAAAGGCTCAGTGGCTTAATACTTTTAACCACAGTAACAGATGGCTGAAACTGTAAGGGGAATTTCCATCCCAGTACAAATGTACGAGTCATAAAATCAAAACCCATTCCGAGCAAGGCGGTCACGTTTTTTGTTCTTTGAAGAAGTCTGTTCCTTTCAGCTCTTGTGGTAGATAGTCCTGCTCTACAGGTTCCTTGTACATGGGGTTATATTTATAGCCTTCACCATAGCCCAAGTTCTTCATGAGCCTTGTTGGGGCATTTCTCAGGTGCAGCGGAACAGGCGGCAGAGGTCCCGTGTGCATTCTCAGACATTCTTTGACATTGCTATACGCCCTGTATACCTCTATAGACTTTGGTGCTCTGGCAAAGTACACTACACATTGTGCTAGAATGACCTGGAAACAAGAAAAGGGAAAATGTTAAATGACTTCTTTAAGCTCTTTGGGAAAAAAGTCTGTTATTCAGCTTGTTTGTGCAGCATGACAGGGATTATGTTTTTAAACTGACCTCTGCCTGCTACTATAGTATGGATAGTGTTATTTAACAACAACAGCTCTTTGCGATTTTCACTGCTAGAAAGGAATAGCTACTTTACAATATCAGAATATATTATTTTATTTATAATGGAGAGAAAAAAAAATGGACAGGGCAAAATGATGTTAGTTCACATACCACATTTTAACAATAAATATGCAGTGAATTTTATTTCAAAAACTACAGTATCTATTTTAAGAGCTGCGATGTTCCCTTACTTGTCAAAGAAGGGGCGTGCTGAATGAACAAGTAACTAAATTTGCCTTGCCCTTGAAATCTCTGTTTCTTTTTATACTTACAGATAGGTTTTACAGTTTGCAGTACTTTCAATTCAGTGAATTAATGAAGCCTTTACCTCACATTCTGGCATTCCAATAAAGTGACAGCCTTGATAAGCAGCAACTGCTTGTGTTAAAGCCAGAGGATCTGCCAGCCCTACAAAAAGGGATCAGACAAAAGCAGGTTAAAGTCAGTTTACTTTAGTTACTGTCTCTTTTTTTTTTCCCCTCCTGTAAGATGGAAGGTTATCCATGCACATTTCGAAGTTGCTTTCTCAGATGTTGGAACTTCTGGTACAATACTTTGCAATATATAAGATATACTCCCTCCAACCACAGCCTTCCTTCTTCTGTCCCCTCAAAAAAAAATAAAGGTCTAAATTGTGGGTATGATTTTCAGACTGAATCTGTTGCCACACGGTGGCAGCCTGAGCAGTAGCTGCCCGTGTATGATTCACTTACTTTTTGGAATTGCGAAAGAAATGGGGAAATATTGCTATAAAGACATAGCTTCCCCAGATCTCAGAACTCTTCACCCATCACATACGTGCTAAAAGTGTTGCTGCATCTGTAACTCCGGTTAAGTCAATCAAGATGGAGCAACTAGGGAGCCAGCTATCAAATCTGAGGTTTGCAAGTCTGGGTAGGCATTCACCTTCCAGAGTCATTAAAAAACCAGACATCCCTGAAATACACACTCTCTGTGACGCAAGTTTACTGGTGACCTACAATCACCAGAGTTTAAAAGAATCCGTATTAGTACACTGCCAAAACCTGATCTCAAAAATATTTGTTTCTCCTGCAATAGGTGATCGTCACAATGACACCACATGTAGGTTTCTGTGTGCATATACAAAGTTTTTGTCGGATGTGGAGCATTTCAGTATTTTGTAGCTGTTTTGCATACAGCAGTTTTGGGGTTGTTTTTTCTTCTCAAACGCCAATTTTTGGAAACCAGAAGCCTGGCAGATCTTCATTCAACATAATATTCCAACATGAAATACTGCAAATACTGACCTATATCTTCACTTGCAAACCTCACCAGCCTCCTTGCCACATAGAGCGGATCCTCACCACCTTCAAGCATTCGAGCAAGCCAGTAAAGGGAAGCGTTTTCATCTGAGCCTCTCATGGACTTATGCAGGGCAGAGATGCAATTGTAGTGTTCTTCTCCTATTTAGAATGGGGGAGAAAAGATACACAAAGCTGTTAGGAGGAAATTAAGTGAAATGCATTTAAGGGAACAGAATATATTTTACTAGATCACAACAGGTAAACATAACCTGCTTTTTCAAGTTCTTTTTATGTATATATGATTATGGTGTTTAATTAATGTTTTCAACATCTTCATGCTTTGCCACATGGATCATTCCACTAACTACATAAGCACAACAGAGCAACTGCAGATGAAAAAGCGGATGTTTTTTTTAAACATTGCAAGGCAAACAATCTGGTTTTGGTACCCTAATGACCTTTCCTTCAGAAGAAAAAAAATACGGATACTTTAAGCAGTTAGGAAGACGACTCTATATAAATATCTCCTAACTGACAGAGTAAAGTATGAGCACATACAAGCCACTGACATTGCTTTTGGACACGCACACAGCTCTGAGAAGACAACAGAAGAATCAGAGAAATCCAGTACTATACACTAGTGATATTTTTAGAAAAAGAAATTTCAACTAAAACTTGAAAATAAAGTGTGCAGTAAATCGAACACGAGTTTGCTGTATTATATAGGGAAAAAAAAAGAAAACATTGCTGTGGATATTCCATGATGGCATATTACACAATCTGGAGGAAACAGGATAGCAGCACACAACCCTGGCAAACCCCTAAGAAATGCTGAGTTCAGTTGTGGACACCTGCACTACTGGAAGAGTTCTGAAAACTGTAAGCAGCTGAAACAAAAAAAAAAACCACAAACAAAACCTGAAATGCCAGACTGCTAAGTAAGGAGTCGGAAGACTGAATGAATTACAAGGAAATCTTTTTTTAACATTAAAGTTTAATATAAGATTAGATAAGGATTCCAAGGAGAAACAAAGCCATTCCACAGATCTTTTAGGGCTACAGTTAAAAACAGAGGGTCAACATTACAAATACTGAATGAGACCCTTCCTGCTTGCAATTTTTCTCTGTGCAGCTGGTTTTGGAATCATGCACATGATTCTTGTGCATTTCTTCTAATCAAATTTGTAAGAGTATTTTGCTGCAATATTGTTGTTAAACTTTCCACGTAATCTGCCTTTTTTATTTTTTGAAGTGCCTGGCATTCCTTGGCTCACAGCTAAGTGTGTATTATAAAGGCAACTGGCTGCATGCATCTAACAGCCATCTGTTAGTATTTCTCTTCTTCCTATGGCTAAAAGGATTTACAGCCTGAGGGCCGTATCAGAACACATCACCGTCGCTTGCAGGCCCTGCAAAGTAAAAGGCCGCACGCATGAGTTTGAAAACCAAAGCCCCCATACTGCTGCAATTTCTCCTTTCATAGCCAGCAAGACCTCCACCTCCCAGGTCAGAAACTGGGTCCATCTTCCTGCGTCGCTGCTCATGCTGCAGTGTGGTTCTGTGGGGAATTCAACACACGCGCTGCCAGCGTACGCAGGCCGGCAGACAGCTATTTTTGCTAGGACTCCACACAAAAAGCCCCGTGGTATGCAGTCATTACTCGTGCCAACACAAACAGCGTGTCTGTGCTCCGTCATAACACTTGAGTTAGTAGCAATAAACCCAAGCAGCTGAACTCGCACCGTCCTCTTGGAAGAGGCGTCTCTTGGTCTCTTAAAAGTAAGGAAGACAGCCTTTCAGTATCTCCAGAGGTTGCGCTCGCCCAGATTTTTTTGCTGGAGTGCTTTTATACACTGTTTGGGCTACTGTAAAGTGTGATATTTGGGGATACCAGCTGGAGAGGCAGAAGGAATCCAGCGGATAGGTTGGGACTAGAGTTACATACCTGCAGGGGACTTCAGAGTACGCAGGCTGAGAAAGGGGACAGTTTTCTCCCTTTCTCCTTCCTCACGAAGTTAATGTTGGTGACCGAGTCATCAACATAATGACAGTACTTACACACCAGACTTGGACTTCTTCAGAAAAACTGTGCAGTTGTACTTTAAATGCAGTTTCAATTAAAGGCAAAGTACAGTTACATGCATTGGACAAAGAGGTTTTATGTTTCTTTTTAAAAAATACAATTTATATATATTCTATGTGAGATACCAGAAGCAGGTTAAAAAAATTAGAACTTCTCACAGACCTTTATTTATTAGCTCTGTCTCTCAGGCTGGTTAGCCAACATACAGATTTTTGCCTTATCAGTTCAGTTGAGACAGACATGCCAACTTATCTATCACTGCTGTTCTGCATCCCCTGTTTTATCCTCTTGAAATCAAAACTCTGAAGAGTTTTTGGAATCAAAATGCATTTGCTCTATGCAGTTCCCATAAAGGCAAATACATTTCCGAAGAGAAACAAGATACTATACAAGAGGCTTTGTGGAGGACAGGATTTTCTAGTGTCTCATGTACACAGATGCACAAATCTTGTTGATTTATGCCCCTAAATTGCTTTATGTGCTCATGAACAGTTTTCCAGCTAATTTAAGATGTTGATTTATCTAAAGTCTTATTGGTTGAAGACAGGGAAAAGGCCTCATTCACTGACCATAATTAATATTTGGACTTCTTAAGCAATCCCTATTTATAAGGTAGTGCGCAAAAGTAAAATCACAGTCCCCATATCATGTTATTTTCTGTTTTAGCCAAAGGTAAACATCAACTGCTCATCGATAAACGACAGAAGAAAGCCTTGGAAGAAAGACTAGAGCAACAGCATGGATAAAAAGACTTCTCATTCTGGTCCAGCAGAAAACAATAAAGCTGGCAAACAACATTATGGCGTGAGACACCTTCTCTTTCCTCCTCCATAAAAGAGTACGGAACAATCGTGTTTCAGATTACAGAATAAATTAACTTCAGCTTAACACGTTCCCAGTCTTTACCATAACTGAACTTATGTTACCACATAGACAGTGAGACAAAATCCTGCAATTATTCTGATATTTATCTTTGGTATTTGCTATTAAATCAGTGTTAGCAGAGAGACACAATACATAAGAGGAAGAAGAGACAATACAACTCTATCTTAAAAATCTATTCGCTGTCCATCTGCAGTTAAACTTTAATTGATTTGGTTGCTGCATCATTTTCTCCAAAAATCAAAATTTAAAAAACTGCAATTAAAAGCTAGAATATGACTAAATAGCCTGTTTCCTCTCACACTGCAAGGGCTGCAGGCAGCTGCTGGCAGTGAAATTTGACTAGAGCTGTTTCTTTGTCCTTCCAGCTAAAACGCATAGATTATCTGCACAAAGATCTTGTCTTTACATGTCTGCACACAGATCAGAACAATAGCCTCATGACTGGATTACAAATAATTTCCTTCCTAGACGACTTGGTGAAAATACATAAAAGAATGCCCAACTATATTTGGCAAATTTCATGGAAGGTGACCAAAAATAAGTAATTATGTAAAATCAAAATTCCCTATTTACACAACTCTGATTGAACACTAATCAATCATTTGGTGCTTTCTACATGAACACACTACACTCAAATGTACGCTGCTGCTATCATGATTAGACAGCATCACGTCCCTCCACTTTGTAAGGCTGAAGCACTTTATATTAGAGGATTGTGGATTCCACAACAACTGTGATTCAAGAAGTATTAGCTAAAACATGCTACAAAAATATCTTTATTTATACCGTAGCCTCTATCCAGAAGCCCTTTGTACATAAAAGGACTAACAGCTATCTCTACTATTGACAAAAGTGGTCAACCAAGACACAGACTACTCCACAGAAGACAGAAATTTTGTAAAGGCATGTACTCAGGCAACCTGCTACTCTGACAGTATCTGTGGCTGGCTCTTTGGCATTTGTACAACCAAGAAAAACAGAATTTTCACCACTCTCGCCCCTCTCTGAAAATCTCTGACAAAAAAAAAAGCACCTACACAGAGCTCGAAGAATTTCTGTCATGGAGAAGGGGCTGACACATGCTACCTAGACTTGATGCAAGCCTCAGGAAGAGGCACTCTGTGCCATCTCTAACAGAGCAAACAGGCATAGGAGGGCTGGGAGCAATGGACACAGCCAAGAGTTCTGCGTGACAGTGGCCACAAGGCGACAGCAAACACACAAGGGACTACACGGCGTGAGACTTACACCAATAAACTGGTCAGATCTTCCGCTTCCTCCTAATCGTGACTTCTTCCTGCCACAGACCCCATAAAACTTTTCTTCTCCCTCCCCCTGCCTACCCTCGACTTCTCAGCTGCCATCATATCAGTATCTGCCCAGCTGACTTTTTCCAGACAATAAGCCATCATTTCCTCTTTGCAGCAAGAAGGCTGCAAACAGGCATATACATTTCACACAACCTCGAGAAATCTCTCATCACAGATTTTGGGTAGTGACAGTTAATTGAGCATATCAGATACAGTGGCAAAACAAAAATCAGTCACTTCTCCAAACACTGCTTGGCATGATTGTTTGGCACTATACTGCACAGTGATTCAAGTATTGCTGAAGAATTAGCATATGCATTCAAGGGGATTGACCTAATCTCTAATATTCACCCTGATTTGTAACCCTCTCATGTAAAAAGTTATAGTGGCCAACTATTGCGAAGCCTAACATTGCCAAGTCACAAATTTAGCAAGAGTGATTATCACATTAGAATCACAGAATCATAGAATCGTTTAGGTTGGAAAAGACCTTTAAGATAAAGGTTAGGAAGCCTTAAATGCAACTAGATTTATGTGACCTGCCCTAAGCAAGCTACAAAATTCATTACCTTAAAAAGCAACTCTAAAAATAAAGCAAACTGCTCAGGTTTTCACATAACATTGTTGTGAATGTGAGCATTTCCAAGACCTTCAAAGGAGTAAAAGTGCAATGGAAGATTTCCAACCCTTCAAGAACAAATCTCCTCATCAAAATACTTCTCCCTCTTTACATTGCAACCCTCTTAGAGGATAATATTCTAAAAATCTTAAAGAACAAATAATTTCACCATGCAACTGTTCACAGGGCAGCAAACATCTCTCAGCTAACCTACACTTCCCAAGTGGTAAGAGGAAATCTTGTTCAGAAGGAATTTCTGGGTGAGCCTCCTACACTGTAAAGGAAAAGTAATTTTTAGGCCAAATTTCAGTACAATCACTGTTTCACCAGAGCAACTGGTATGAAAAGGGGAGAAGAAACAGAAATTATAGAGGCTATCTGCTCTTAAGAATGCTGCATCTCAGAAACTGTATCAGGTACTCACCTGCTCGGTCATACAGGATGTGAGATCGCTGTAGCCCTTCCTTTACATGCTCTTCTGTTATCAGAATGCCATCTGCAGAACCACCTTTGGTAATATTCAAAGGAGTGGTCTTTCCCACTGTTAATCTGGCCTGAACTGCTAACTGGAGCCCATTCAGTCCAGTCCTTGCATCACCGTCGCAAAGGTAGGCTAGGGTATTCAGAGCTTTCTCCTCTATGTACACTGGGAATCTGCAACAGAATAACCATACACTGTTAGCCCCCATCATGCTCCTCTCCTTACGTATTATGCTAGAGATGGCATTTGTTTACAAAGTTTGAGAGGCAGTTGGGTTTAAGTATTGTTCTTAACTCATTCTGTCATGATTAAGCATTGCAGAGCCTGGGAGAACACTGTGGGATCCGACCCCTCCTCCTCCTGCCCCAACGCATGTTAAATACAATTGCATGTGAAGAAGGTAGGGCATGAGCTCTCATCTTAACCCCCTTATTTTTCCTCATCTCATTAAGTTCAATGGAAACTAGGGTTAGGGTTATGCCAGAGTACAATTCTGGCACAGCCAGTTGAACTTTACAAGGTTTTACTCCATCAGCATTTCACAGCTAGCACTTCAAATTCCTTGTTGGAAGGACAATGAAAAGGTAGGAAGCTGTCCAAATGCACGAGAGAATATAATGAGGTATGAAGTAATTAGCATGAGGTTTTAAACTAGCTACTAACAGTAAGAGTTGCTATCAGATGCTCTTTTAAAAGCAACAATTGGAAGGATTGTTCACATTGTAAAGCATATATGCATCCTACATTCTTTTTTTTAAATGGTAACAGGTATTACAACATAGTCACTGGGGTACAAAAAATATCTTACTAGAAAGAAAAGGCATCCCAATGCATGCAAGTCACTGTTCTTGCCATCTACTTCTCCAAGTGTGCCAGGACTATACAAACACATGAAAAAGGCCAAACCCCAGTAAACACACAATCTAAATGAACAAGACGGGAAGATCTGAGAAACGCAGCAACAGATCTGCTGAGATCTCATAGCAGGTCTATGAAAAATCTGGGAAAGTAACAACGTCCTCCAGGTCTTTCTCCAGGTTTTCATCTGCTGGGCTGCAGTCCCCACTGTCGGGACACATGCAAACCAACTCGCCTCTGCGCATTTCATATGCATACTGTTGAGGATTTGACCCTCAAACTTTAGTTATGTAGACAACCTAATGGCTAAGGTGTTCGCCAGGCAGAGGGTACAACTGATTTGATTTGGAAACAGCAGCTAGTGGAGTTAAAGCATGGCATAAGTAATGGCCCTAACTTAGCCATTTCTAGTAACTGGACGGAAAATCAAGAGTGACATGTATCGGTCGGGATTAATGCACAGAGCTTGGCGTGAGAGGCAATTTCTTATGAAGCCCTTGTGTGCCAAATAATTAAGGATTCACAACAGCCCTGCACTTCATTCACCAGAAAGATTTATTACTGTTATTACCAAAGGTGTACAAAAAGGCAATGCCAGGGTTCCCAGACACACATATCCACTAATCTTCATTACTGGCCTCCTCTTCCTCCTCGCAAACCCACTTTGCACTTGTCACACAAAAGAAAAAGACAGTAGGTGCTGGAAAAACTTTAACAGTCAGTATTTGAGCCCTCTCATGCCCACACATGAGAGGGAAAAGCTTGTAGAGCTGCAATCTTAATCCGCAGCACTGCAAGTGAAGGCTGACAAATGTCTTGCAGGGTTATAACCCATGCTGTAGAGGGTTGGCAGCAGGAATCACATCCTGTGGGAAAAATATATCTATCTATATACACATATGCATCTTGTCATATTTTTATTTCCACCTCCTTATTTCTCATGTATTTGATAAAGCTAGGAAAAAAAAAAAATTAACACGCACACACAGTGGAACTCCAAAATAGCTGCACTTTCTCCAAGGTGTTTCAAACACCTTCTTCATGTTTGAACGGGGAAGCAGAAGAATTTAACAGCACAGGGACTTATTCAGCCAAGTATCTCATGCATCAAATTCCTTGAAAATCAGGGAGCAATGTTCACCCCTCAGCACTACAGATGGGCACCAACTTTTTCTATATGCAATGAAAGAAGCCAGCAAAGAAAGCAAAAGCTATTTTTAAAAACCCAGCAGGCACTACACACAGATGTCCTGCTGCTAATACCTCCATCAACAGGGAACAAAACCAAATATGCTGCGCACCGAGCAAACACTTGGGATACACCAGCAAGGCAGACTGAAGAGAAGGTTTCACCTGCAAGGACTAAGCTCTTTGCCTGCTGTTTGCAGAGAACACCACGCGCTTGAGGCCTCCTCACACCGATACCCACAACTGCACTCAGCAACTGCAAGTGGAGAGGAAGTGTTGAAAGCACTAAAAGGCAGGTACTATGCTCGCAAGAAGCTAAGAACAGTCTGTCCCAAGCAAAGTTGAGGCCTCAGAGCACTTTTTCCATTTATTTGCTAATTAGAAGCTGGGCAAGAAAGCTGAGTTGTATTCCTGTCTCTCCAGTTTCACTATAGGACTCTTAAGTGCCCCGTTGACTCAACACAAGCAATTAGTATTACAGGAATTGAAACAAGTATGCACAAGAAGTACAGAAAATCTGGTTACAAGCAAAGGTCTTGTCCACTTCCACGGTGAAATCCAAGTTACAACATATTGGTAATGGAAATTCCGCTCCAAATAATGTATTATGTATTAGGCTGATCCAGTCCATGTCTACAATAATAGCACGACATACAGAACATGATACAAGAACAAGAATAAACAGAGAAAATTTCCACATACATGCTGTTTGCACAGTGTATTGATGACAATCACTGACTCGAAATAACATAATGCTTCCCTGTTCCGTAATCTCAGCTCCGTTCACACTCAGTATTTCAAAATAATAACATTTTATACTCAGAATAACTGAATTCAGTTATTTTTTCTGAGGAATTAAAATCTTAAATTCCATTTTTTTTTTTTATGATTTAACTTCACTAGGCAGGAGCCTAATTTCAAAATCAGGATGACAATTATTTCAATATCTTGGTTTCCAAAAGACACCAGCTGTATTTTACATTTTTAAGCCCATCCTGTCTTCAGAAGCCCAAGTGTCCTACACCCTTCCACTTTACCCAACTTCTGCACACCCTAGAACTGCAAGGCAGAATAACTCCCATGCTTTCTGACCTCTTCCCAAGCTCCTGATCCTCTTGCAGATGGGAAACCTTGTATTTTCTTCACTCTCCAAAATTAACACTGAACACCCCCTGGAAGCCAACGCTCAGTGTTGGTACCTTGTAACCAGTGATACTTGGAGACAAAAACATAAACAAGTCAAAAGGGACGCCCCGGGATCCATCACTCACTGAGCTGAAGGTGATATACTAGCTTAAGGAATGGAAAACTACCACTACAGGATAATAAATCTTTCTTCCAATTCCTCCTTATCTCCATACCCTCAAGAAAGTTCGTGCCAAGAAACAACATGAAACATGTGATGAACTACCCATAAAACCTGTACAACACCGCAGCGTTTGATCCAATGACAAGAGGGTGTAAGCAGTATCAGAGAGTATATATAAGGAAGTCCAAGCAAGGAGAACCTTTATGATGAAAGATTTAAAAATAATTGAGCAGAACATGAGATCAAGTACCCATTGCTTCTTTCACATATAAATCAATACTTTCTTACTTTCTCAGTGCAATTATTCTCACTACACTCACTCCTTGACAGATTGCAACACTTCTACAGGCAAATACAGTTCTTCATCTGAAATACTGCAGTATGATATGCATTGCTCACTGCCTTACAGCATTGTCTTTGAATGTCACGTCTCATCCCAGCAACTCTACTTCCTGCAAGGAAATTGGATGGATGTTCCAAAAAGGGAATAAATTTCAAAAAGGTACTGAACACTGAAGACCGAAAGGAAGCCCATCTTCAACATTGTGATTTACAAACCAGTGAATTCAAAACCTGTCAGTACTTGTAATACAGCCACTAACAAGCTGAACTGCACGATGTCTGGGCTTGCCAACAGGAAACTGGGGATCCTTTCATTTCTCTCAGCTGTGCGCCTTCCATGCTATCTAACTTCAAATACATTAATCCGCCATCCAGTTTACTGTCTGACTTCAATTAGAGATACCACTCTGAGGGCAGCACTTGAATGATAAAAATAAAAAGCCAAGAAAAGAAGAATTTTATTTCCTCCATCACTGACACAGTACAAGTGTAGTGCATCAGTGTACACCTGGAACAGGTTGTGCTATTACTGAAACAGTGTAAACTGCAGAAAGCACAAGCAAAGGTTCAGCAATATAAACATTCCTTTAACATTGACTTCTCCTCACTTTTCTTCATGAGTATGTTTCTTCCTTTCATATTCCCCCATCTTTCAGCTTAATTTACTGCAGGCTTTAAGAGGCACAATTTGATGGCAGTAAAGTTGATGAAAATATAACACAAAGCACATCTTATCCTAAAGAAATCCAGTAACTAATACAAAAACTGACAAAGAAGCTTTATGAGCATGATGATGTAACAAAGACAAAATTACCGAAGTAGGTAACACCTCCTGACAGTTCTATTTCAGCTTTACAGCAAGAAAAGGCCACAGCAGCATGAAAGAGAAGCCAGGCGACTTAACCTTAGCAGAAACCCGCAGCAATGGTGGAAGCAAGATAAGAAAAAGCCACCAAGAAAATTTAAGGAAATAGATTCAGGTAGAGCACACTTTCCTTTTGATGACTGCTGCACGTGCATGGAGTGCAGAGACGATGAAACCGATTGAATCATTCGGCGATGGCTGCATTCTCGTTGAGCACAAAAGATGCCTGTAGAGACTAAGGAAGATTCACCCTCACCTTATTCCTCAAGGTAATAGGATAGACCACAAAGAATCATCCTCTTCAAAATCTCATCTAGGTCAGCCATCATGTCAGACAAGTGATGTGGTACCAAGACCATCTGATAAACTGAGGCCAAGCAGCACATGCAGAACTTCATACTACACTTCCATGGTTTGGGAAGGGAAACTCACATAGGAAATGAAATCCAATATTCAATATACACATCTCTTGTGCCTTCTGGCTAGATGTCTGCAGCATTTTCAAAGTGGGCGTGCCCCACGTTTGGGGACATGCTGCCTTACAGCTCCTCTTCCAACTCTGGAACAAAGGTGAGCAGAGCGAGCAACCAATTCAGCTGTAATTGGTGACTTTCATTTATTCCTCAGGACAGCATGGCCACTGTTACCTGCCTGCATCTAATGACAGCCCTGCTTCATAGAGGCAGGGAATTGAAGGGGTAAAAGATGAGAGACAGCTGCTCCTGCAGAGTAGTAGGTGGAGAGGAAATGAAGGAGCAGAAATGGTATGGACAGTGAAGCAAGAAGGAGGAATTAACAAGGAGACCAAAACTGGAACTGCAGTAAGGGACAGGATGGCTTATAAAAAGCCAAACTCATCAGCAACAGTATGTATCAACTACAGACCAGAACCAGACAGCAGCAGGAAAGACGAGAAAGACTTAACACACAACTGCAACAAACACTCCTAAATTCTGAAACCCATTTTTATTTTTAAATGCTTGGCTCCCACGTTAGCCATTGGAGTGGGGCCCTCTCTCTCCATGGATAGATTTCTGAAACTGTGCTAGTCTGACAGTCTGCCTGCCAGGCTTCTTTCAGTTTGATGAAGCACCACACCGTGCTGTTTAAATCATCCATAGCTAATGGAAGGTTACAGATACGGAGAGTCTAGCGAAACCCAAACCCAAACAACTGCAGCTGAAACTATGCCTTGTACTTTAATCCCGTAGAGAAAGGAAAGTCTCCGAACCCCAGTCGGGGTGTAGCCACAACCACAGCTGTGCCATTACATTAAGGCTGACATGCAGTACTGCCCTCTCTTCTAAAATTCACATTACTACAATATGTAAAAGCTACAAATGAGTAAACCATAAGGCAGGGTACACTAAAAAGGGAATAGCTTTCCTTCCCTGCCCTGACCTCAGCATTCAGGTTAGCGATTCTTAGTGTTTACATTCTATGACAAAGCTAAAGGACAAAGTGGATTCCCCCTCATTTATTTCATACGGAGTGCTTGCCCAATTACCACCATGTCAATACACTGTAAATTACTAGGAGTACAGACAAGCATCAACATGAAGGAACTGTAATTACTTGCATGAAAGTAGCGCAATACCAAGCTTTATTCTTATCTGCCAGCTAGCCATTTCAGAAGGCAAATAACATCCCTTATGGACAAATCTGGACCTTGTTTTTTCCAAAACTCTCCCAAACGTTTAACGTGACTCTATCTGGCTTGGACAACAAGGAGCAGAGAAAAGCAAAGTCTATCTTAAAACAATCTATTAACACCTCACAGCAACAGCCCCCTCTCCTCACAGCATACCATAAAACATACCACAGCACCTATCCTGCGACTACAGAACAGTAGTATCCTCCTTGATCTTATTAAAAAAAAATTCTCAGAAAACAACAAACTTTTGTCAGGCACTTCCAAATTAATTTAAAAGGGGATGCCCCATCCACTACTTAATGGTAACATGATGCTTTCACAACCAGTAGCAAGAAGTAACACGCATTAGGACATGACAAAGACCCAGTTACAGGCTTCCACGGCAAATCCTCAGCAGCAGAATGGATTTAAATATCCTGGGAGGGTGAGTCAGGAGCTACAGATCCAAGTATAAAACTTTCTCTCCTAATCCAGACGGTGAAATTATGTTTTGGATGGAGAGAGCCAGTGCTTTGAATTCTCTCTCTCTCCTGTCACCCCCCGCCCCTGCCATATGCTGCCACTTCTTTTCTTTACTATCAGAAGTGGCTAGGGTTTCTCTTCCCACCCCCCAACTGCTTCATTCTCTCCCTGGCAGGCAGTCAATTCCTCGGGTTGTGTGCGTTAACACCCTGCAGCCCATAAAGTACTCACTCCGAGCACTCGCTGCTGCTGCCAGTCGCAGAGCTGTCGTGCTGGTCACCCTGGCCCAAAACCTGGACCCCTAAAGATTTGACAGCCCGCATCAGAATCGCCTCCATCGCTTCAACCGAGAGCTTCTCCAGGACGATCACCCGGCATCGGCTCAGAAGAGCGGCGTTGACTTGGAAGGAAGGGTTTTCTGTGGTCGCTCCTATCAGGGTCACCGTCCCACACTCGACGTGAGGAAGGAAAGTGTCCTGAGGATGGGAGGGAAGCAGAAAAAGCTGATCTCGATCAATGACAACCTGAAACATCCCATGTGAGTAGGCTACGTTTTTCGTGTCTTGTGAGTCTTTGGGTTCCCCTTTGATATGACAAATAACCTCACTGACAAGGCAGCTCATCTGCTCAGCTATCTAAATGATTTAATTTCACACACACAGCACGTTATGAGCTGTTCACCTTAGTAACTCGTGCTTGCACTGAGGAGGACACTATCAGCTGAAAAGAAACAGTGTCAAAAATCTGCAAATTTTTAGTTTATTTATGTGACTTTGGTTTATTGCTTGGCAAACATCAGATATCATGAAATTTCCTTATCAAATATAACAAACAGTGAGGCTACTTCTAAATACTCTTTGAACCAATCTTTAGGGCTACAGTTCCCTACATAATTCTATCAGATGGCTCAGAAAACTACAGGAAGATTGGAGTATGGCTTGATATAGAAACTGCAACCTGTAGTACAGAATTCAAGCTTTCCATGGCACGACTATGGTCTCTTTTTTTTTTTAATGGTACTATGGTCTCTTTTCTCGCAGAGAAGAGGGGACAACATTAAACCAAACAACCACCCTAGGCATATCCACATTCCAGACCTTTTTAAAGGTAATGCAGAATGCTACCCCCAGGAGGGAGGCTGAAATGAAGATATGTATGGCTGTACGGCAAACATTACTAACATGACTTTGCAGAAATAAAACTTCAGAAAAATGTCATATAAAGCCTGGCACATAAGTCAACTATAAGTATAGCTCAGATTTTTATTTAAATCTTTGAATCACAATAATTAAACATTGATTGGAAGTTAGTTATGGAATTTAATTTTTCTGTTTCTCCCTAATTCATCTACTAAAAACATGAACATTAAAATCAAAAGCCCAAAGCAAGCTATCATCTTAAGGCAAAGTGGGAAATTTTACAGAAGTGCTGACAAAGGCTTTTTCCAAAAAGCGGCGTAGTACAATACCTGCTGAGATTTATTGAAACGATGGATCTCATCAATAAAGAGGATAGTTTTTCTCTTGAAGAGTCTTTTTTCATTCTGGGCTTGGCTGATGACATCTCGAACATCATTTGTCTTGGCACTTGTGGCCGACAGTGTCACAAACCTCGTGCCATTTTTTTTGCTGCTGTTGGCTATGATGTGTGCCAGCGTAGTCTGAAACAGCAATAGGAGAAAGCTTTGTAAAAATTGTTTTGGACATAGGAAGTACTCATTTGAAGGAAATATGTAAAGAACAAAGCTGTATGTTCTGGACATAGGGACAGTGTTGACAGTTTACAGAGTAAGGTATTTTAGTTCATGCTATTCTAGCACACAGAAGACTTAAAAACTTCCTGCTAGAGGTAGCTGCCAATTCCACTGCTGCATTTCTAATGCCTGCACTTTCATGTACCAGACCTATTCAGTTGCAATACTGAAAAGGCCAGCAATGACAGCTGTCTCCTTTACCACAGAAGAACAACTCTTCACCAAATACATTTCTGTCACAGAAGATGGGCTGACTACAATTCGCTGCGCAGTTATTCTGTAGAGTATGTTAATGGTAAAGAGCTGGACTACCCCGAGACACCTGCAGGAGAGTTTACAGTGTAACCACGTTTAAGAAATAAAAAGCTACAATGTTGTTAATTAAAGCCTTTTCTATTTCCACTCCACATAAAAATTAAACTAATTAGATAGCAGTTCTCTACAAAAGCATGAGAATGTTAGTACTGAAAAATTACACGTATACTTAAGAAAATGTAACTCTTTAAATCTAAATAGTCAACAGTAATCAAATGCTAGCCCAGGGAAGTAAAAGACAGCTGACTGAACAAACTGTTGGCTGGTTTTAGTGAGCAGCTACGTTGTTTTTCTTTCCTTATAGACAACTCCTTCAAATCAGAATTTATTTATAGGGAATTTCACTGAGCCTACCAAAGCACAGAAGCAACCTCCGGTACTACCTCTCAGGCAGATTCACTACACCTGAACACATCACAGGCATACTTTTCAGACTTTCTTTCACAACCCTTAGCAAATGCAGGTGTACCTGCATGTCCCAAGCAGAGTGTATCTCTGTTTGAAAGTACTGCTAGAGAAAAATGGGATTCTTCCATCAAGCTTACTCTTCTATTAAAGAAGGAGCCCAAGGAGACCGAAGACAGGAGAGCCTCAGCAGAATAGGAGTGGGACAGGTGCTGACAAAACCGCTTCAGAAGATGTTCCAAGTACTGAGGTTAGAGCAGCAGGTGCTGCCAACCTGATCCTCTTGCAGGGAGGCTGCAGAAGCAACCACCTACCACATGGCTACCAGTGAAGTTGGCAGGACCTCATTCACTGCCCTAACAGCACTGCTCTATTTAATGCATCTCCTTGTCCCTGAAATGGCAACCAGCCCAAGATGGGAAAGGGGAGGCTAAGGGGGAGGATGTATCACTATTTATTCTTGCTTTAGTTTTAGTAAGGGCTTCCTGATTGTCTTCAGAAGAGGTGTCACTTCACATCCCGATACAAGACTGAAATCTCGTGTCAGATCCTCTCTCACTCCCTGGAGCTCAAAGCACCAGCCCCTCCCCTCCTTATATTGCTGCAGAAGACAAGACTGGAAAGACACACTGGAAAGTGCTTGCGGCAAAGCCTACAGAAATCAGGAAGATCTAGGAAACCAAAAAACAAAAGTGAAACTATCTTTGAAACTAAGCTAACAAAATGAAACCAAAGTTGGTGTTTCCTTACAAAAGGGCCTTGATTCAGAATGTACCTTCAGAGGATGTACCCATGCCTTAATAATCACTGAAAGCATGGAAAAAAAACCCATCAAATTTGAGGATGAAAAAGGACAAATGTACCTCTTCCTTCTCTAAAAGTGGCAGTGGTGGTGGTGAAATCAAGTGGCTATTCTTCTTATAGCTCCACTTGAACCGGCACCTCACTGCACCCTGGCCCTCATTCACCAGGTCACAGACAGTTTTGTTGTTTAAAAAAAAGCAGGGAGGAATTGTTTTTAAACACATGCACAGGAGTCCATATTTCTACCCCTAATTTAGGGAAAAAAACCATACAAAGATTTGTTTGAAAGTTACTATTAGACTAAGAATCTACTTGAAAACTGCTGCACAGCTCTCAGCCAGCATGTACCTCTCCTGCTCTGCCAACTTCTGGGTCAACAAAGGTTGTAATAAGAATAACATACATTGCTTTTCAAAACCAGCGCTTGACACGGACAGGCGTGTTCATGGCCTCTTCCTTCTGTTCTGCACAATCAATCATTTAGCAAGTAAAACTGCCCATCACATCCAGGTTGAACTTTCCCCATTCCTCTGAAAGCCTGTTATTTCCCATGAACTTAACTTTTCTATGCTGCTTTTTCTCCTCCCATCTCAAGCAAAAGTCAGAAAACACTACGCTGTTTTCTCCCTCTTTGATACTATCAGGTTACAACCTAGGGAACATATAACCCAGTGGAAACTTAAGCAGGGTAGCCTAAGTATGAAGGCACTAGCACAGAAGAACTGCAACTAGTATGTTAAACCCATAGTTTCTCTCACTAAATTCAAGGGCAATGTATTTGAGGGATAAGAAAAAAATTAAAAATCCAATATGAAATAAGGCAGAAGAAAACACACTGACTATCCTTCATTATCTGAAATAAATTTTGAAGTAGGTTTGTTACATTAGAAAAAAAGTCTTTTAAAATAGTGACACTGATGTTGCAATTTAATATGAATGAATATGCCTGTATTGGAACCAGCATAACAAGCAGGAAGAGGAAATCTAGACAAGTTGATATTCTGCTCCTTTTATTATACAGGTGTTTCTTCTTTAGATCATGTTTTTTCCTTATGGGGAGGAGCAGAAGTATTCTTTCCTGTAAATTAAGTGGTATTTATACCAATGAGAATAGGAGTAATCCTGCAAACTAACCTTTTGCTAACTTCACTAAAAATTACACCTTACAAAGCTCACAGTGTAATATCATTGCCCCTTCCAGAAATCATTCTCAGTTCTCTTCCATTTATCACACCAAACTGTCCAAACTCAAGCCTATCATCTCAAGTTTTATGCTGAAAATTGCAATACCTTACTGACTTATCTGTTTAGACAGGCTAAAGAAACGCCATCATAAGGAGCCCTTCTGAAATGTGGAAACATATCCACCAAGAAACTCATGAACCGTTACTCACCAATGAATAACACTTTCAACTTGAGCCTGTGGTCACTTATTTCCAGATCCATTACACACAGAACAAACACTTAACTACTGAAACTCTCCTCCACCGTCCTGCAAATTTCTTCATGTCAGCCCAAATGAGAATATCCTTTCCCAAAGGCTGCAACCATCCGAGATTTACAAAACCCACCAACCAAACAAAAAATAGCCAAACAAGCCCACTCCCAGCAACTATGCCACCAGTTCTTCCAGGCTTTGATACGAGTTATGGATGAAATAAAAGTAACCCACAAAGAGTGCTTGGCTCCACACACCTCTCACTGTCAGAGCAGATAAGTCAACCAGATTTGCTATTCCGGTTAGTCGGATGTTTGTACTAGGAGACAAGAATTTTCTGTATATCCACAAGTTTCCTTGACTGGGCAACTCTCTTTGAGTGTGACCTATTTCCCTATTCTCTGTGCTGCCCCTCGTCAATGCAACCTCACACCCATGGCTGGAAGAAAATAGTAAAAACCAAGTACAAATTAAGCCTGTCCTATTGATGCTGATGTTCAATGACTAACATTATCCACTTAGAAGTAAGGTGGCCTTTTCATTTTTGCACCTCTTTACCAGGCCATTAAACTATGCCCACTGCATTAGCTCACCAAAGCCCCTTCCAGGAATAGAGAGTGGTACTGCCTAGCTCTCTTCAGAAAGTAGAATTGAAAAAATTGGGAAGAGATTAGCATATATGGTCAGATCATAGTCAAGAAGACTCCAGCCAAGCAGTTGACTGTAAAACCTAAACCTAATGTCACTCTTACCTCACTGTTGTGGAAGATCAGGTAGACCTTGTTTAGGGATCTGCCTATGGTTGCCTGTTCATGGAGACTTTGCTTATTCATTCTTAAATTGCATAAATTTAGCAAAACAGCAGTTGTAGATGTCAGTCACAGAAAACACATGGTCTCTCAGGTTACATCTATACTGTGTTCAGCAGTCATGTCAGAGCTCCTGCATGGTGTGCAGAACAGCTCACAGTTGTTCTGTTCCAGCCTCACAGCCCTTTTTACCTCTCACAGCCTTTTCATGAGGAGTTAACATCCATACTACGCTTTATGGGAGCACACTGGTGCAAGAGCTCCTTGTACCTGGATGGGCCCTTCCAACATACATGCTTCTCCCAACAAGTCTGGAAGGTTGTATGGTCTGCTAGGCCATGTTTCGGTGACCAAAGCAGATCTGGCACAGATCTGCACCAGTGTATAGACTGCAGTGCAGCATGGATTATTCGTGAGCAGGGATAATCTAGTTGGCATCTAGGCCTCCCCACCAAGTGACTTTGCTGGTTTGTTCCAGAGCAAACCACTGTGTGAATTACGTTTGCAGCAGGGATGAAAGACGACTGACAGCCTAGTGCAAAACACAAGCCCAACAGGCTAGCTACGCCTATAGACTTGTAGGGTCTAAGCTACGTTATCAGAGTTCTGAACTGGCATCCTGCTTTTTTCTGCTGCTCTCTCGACTATGACTTTCCTTGTATTTTTGCCTCTTCCTTTATTCTGGCCAGGATTTCCACATCTTTGCTTACATTGTGTTGCCATCAACAGCCTCTCCTCACCCTCAACCCTCTCTTTGAGGGCAGCAGGGCCATACTGTGGTTGACAAGCAGTCAGGAAAGGCCACGCTCTCTCTCACTGCCCTGAGTAAGACAACAACAGTGCCAGCATCCTTGGATGCCAGCCAGGGGAGCAGTTCCCTGGGATGCAGCTTGAAAAGCTGGGGTCTGTCCTACCCAACACTGCTGAGCTGACCCCAAGCTACCACACTGCGTCACAGATGAGCCGGGCTGTGTCTAAAGGAAACTGGCAGGATAGCAGAGGAACATGGCCCAGGGACACTGGCCCAGGGACACTGTCTATAGAGATAAACACAATCAAAAGTGGCAGCAGTTGGCATTTATGTAAGGGCAGATGCTATTCTTACCCATCTTGTTTGGTTCCTCACACCCCAAATAGTCCACTGTGAGACTACTGGAGGAGTAAGGTGTCACTGAACAACAGCCACGGCGTGTGGTTTGCAGCACTTCCAGAATCCAAGTCTGACCAAGCACAAACAGAGGCAAGGTCATTGCATAATGTTTACTGAAATGGAGCTGTGCCTCCATTTGCTGCATCCAGATTTGTCTCCTTATATTCCATCCGCTTTACAAATATAATTGTATTTTCTCTTCCAGTTTTCTCTTCCTAGTGCACTACCCTAAGTTATTCCTGATTTAGATTGGCATAAGCAAAATCAAGCACACTGTATTCAAAGCCTTCTCCCAGGCAACTGCAAAGACTAATTTTTCAGCATTGTTCCAGACTTTCACTCTACGCTACTGTAAAAGATATCATGCATTTTCAGCTAAAAATCTCATGGTAATCAATAAAAAGAACTCATTACTTCAAACAGTGCAAATCAGGCCCCAAGCAGTATGAATAAGAGAAGATGAAATACACTCAAGTAATCAAATAGCCATTTAGGTAATCACTTGAATTAGCAAAATAGAAAATGCTGGAGGAAAGGGACGATAAATGTGCGGGGAGCAAAATACATCAGTTGGATTTGCTGTCTGTGTTTCAATGTGTCATATAGCAGTCTTGAATAAAACCAAAGAAATACAAGGGAGTCCTAGAAATAAAATATAAACTCAGTGGATATTTGATAGAAACTTCAAAGACCACTTACTGGGGTTTTTCATGTTTTGCACTCACATCAACATGGCATATTTTACCTTAGTACTAGATTGCAGATATGGACCCCAGAAAATCACGCGTGAATGTTCTTTGTCTTATCTTTTGTAGGGAGCGGGTTCCAGACAGTTGCTGCCTACATTTTTTCTTGTTAAACAGCAAGAGGGAATGTTTACCGTATTTAAATACAGAATGTTCAGGTTTATAAGGCTTAAACCGTATCTGTGGCAGCTAAATTATTCAGTGCTCAAGTTACACTGTGTCCCCCCGCTAACTCTTTACTAAAATTGGTGCCCCATGGCAGACAAGCAAAAATCTAAATCCCTGCATTAAGGTGTCATAAATCACAGTACAGCTTACTTGGATTACACTAGAATTCATACAGGCTTTTAAAAATTTGCATAGTCAGGATGAACAAGCTAACTGTTCCTAAGTTAATAACCACAGCACCTCTTTGAGGCAGCGTTTCTTCTTCTGGCCTGTGTCTGGTCAGCTTCTTAAAAGCAGAAAGTATGTCTTTGTGTTCAACACTTAATAGTGACAAAAGTAAAAACAAAAACAAAGACTCAAAGCCTTTTCACCCAGAGCACCTTGGCTTCCTAAGAAATTAGAATGACAAATTAAAAGTACAAAGATCACGCTCCCTTAAAATAAGATGACTTAATACAGATGGAAACTCAAAAGAAAATAAAGTCACAACAGAAGTACCCTGATTTTGTGTTTTCAGTTTTGATTGTGCTTCCTTGAATATTCAAGTGCAGCTGAGGCTGAAATCAACTTGGGCAGAGTAGTACAAAGCACATGTATTTTTACTCAGGTACCTAGCTTTATTACTTTCATGATAAAAATTCTCCAAATGTACTCTTGAACTACAATATGAAGTACTGTATTTATAGCAGTTTAATAGCCAAGATTATCCTCTTCTTGCTTAGAAAAAGTCTACTTCTGCTTAGACTTAGAAAAACTACTACTTCTCATAAAGGTCCAGATTGATAAATAATACATAAATTAATTTGAAAGTTGGCTCCAATGATTAATTCCATCTCCAGTTATTTTATTTTTTTTACCTAGTCCTGCTCCACCCTTTTCAAAAGAAGTATCAATTAGCATGGCATTTGGCTGTG